ACACATTACAGTATTCCATACCATGTACTTGTGATGCTGGTGCTGTCAATATAGATGATAGCGATATTAAACTATCGTCATCTGTTGTTGTTCTTATTTGTGGTTTGTATGGGTATTGTATCATTTTTTCTGGTTAAAATATTTTTTTTGGCATTAACTGGTGTAAAATATATTGATGATGTAGATGAAGCTTCTGTTGATGGACCTAAATAAAATATATATAAATATAAACGTAAACATGAATAACTCATTTGCCAATTAATATTACCATTACCTTTATTAAAAATAAGATTTTTTGTTGAAGATGGATTCTTTTTTACGTATTTATTTGTTGATATATCTTTTAATGGTTTCCGTTTTCTTTTTGTAGCTAAAATTATTTGAGATAGTAAATTTAAGGGATCTTCTAATCATTGGTGATCATGTATAAATCATTCTTCTTGGCAATTATTGAAGATTAACCGAACTTCAAGATTCGCTAGCGACTCTGCGGGGAGACAATGAGGATTATGCATTTTTTACCAGTATCTGTGGTAAAATTTTGAACTTAATCGGACCATTTTTTCGAGGGGTCGTAATGTGTGCCAATTGAAGGGACTATTGAAAAAACGCATAGTGAAAAAAACACATTGTACTCAAGACCCTGTTTTACAGGGCATTTGCGGCTATGCTTATATCTCTAAGAAAACTCATCGGAAAATTCTGGAAAACATCTCATTTTGAAGAGCACACTTTCTTCTATCATGCTATATATAAGAAAAAATTTTGAATATATAGGAAAGGAGAAAAAGTTTACGGACCTAAAAAATTGAGATTTTCTAGACTTGGAAGGAAAAACTTAAAAACTGTATAAGTTTTTCAAGGAAGGTCATGGAGAGCTGGGAGTGGTCTCATTTTATAGCCCAGACTTTCCTCTGCATTATACTATGTTCAGCTCAAAATGACAACTTTTCTGCAAAAAAGAACGGGGAGGGTGTACCCTTAAGTGAAAAGTACATTATAGATTCATATGTTTGTACTATAAAAACTCACCAGTAAGAAATGATTGTTCTTCTTTTTCGTCTTCATCTCCATCATCTTCTTGTTCTAATGTATCATATTCATATGTGCTTGTTCCACCTGTAAGTTGTCTTAATTTAGTAATACATAATTTCTTTGGTCCTACAACGTAAAACAAACACTATTCAAAGACAAAAATAAGTAGAAAAAATCTTGTTTATCCATACCCATGGTGTCTAATTGTCCAGAAAATTCACGTCCATGGTAACTGTATACAATATGATTATCTTTTTCAACCAATTCGCAGCTGTCTAAAGGTGCCATCATATATTGAAGTGATTGTGAATCCAAAAATACGGCATGAGTTGCTGTTGTTGTTCGTTTAGTACCACGTAACATAATCTGTGTTTGTGACTCATTTAGAGAACGAGCAGTCATCTTTTAGATCTAAAAATGGAACTATAATGAAATGAATAAGTCGCAAATTAAATTGAGCAGAAAGAAGGTTCTAAAATAACGGTCTATAAATGGTGACGGGATAGTTCATGATTTTCTGATGGAAAGCCTTTTTAACCCTAAAATTTCAGAATCGTTTTTGAAAGTATTTAACTTCATTCTGAGAAGAGTGCATCTGCGCGTAATACGTTCAGGAAGCCCTTTTTTCTCCCCGGTAAGCGGCAAAAAATCAACTCTTACCATTAAACAGGTATATTCAACTTTTGAACAGTTTATAAACAACTAAGCCTTTGCAAAACCGGACATATTGAAGAAGTTTTATGGGACGAACTTGAACGAATGAGCAAGAAGCAGAGTTCTGCCTTTTCATCTAGTAAAATGTTTGCTGAACCTCTTCACTTTTCTCCAAAGAATTTTTATGCAAACTTTTTTTTCTTTTATGCCTAGGCAAGTTAAACAATCTGGACGATAAAAGAGATACGAAGAAAATTATTAAAAAAAATAGTTTTTGTTGTTTATGTTTCACATACGTTATTGCAAATGGACAAAAAATACCGACAAATGCAACTAATCACGTTTAGTCATGTTCATATGTACAAAAAATTTCAGTTAATAAATATTTATCTCCAAATGGTATAATCATACACTGATGTAATATAGATTTTACTGGTATAACAATAAAATTAAATCT